CTCCCTAAAGGGATAAAATTAGTACAGTTAAGGGACAAGTAAAGAGTACCTACCTAATCTTTTGTCAACTCTAAATAATCTACGGCCGTTGGTGCATCCCTTTCGATCGGCACATACTTTTGTGACGAATAAACATCTAAATGGGGATTGGCATGTTGTTTCCATATTAAAATGGTGTCTTCTGGCGAGACATCAGGGTAAACTGCCTTCCAATAAGTATAAAGGCCACCATAGCAAGTCCTGACATATCTCAGGTGCCGTATTGAAAGATCAGTGAGCACGTTAAGGAACCAGAAAAGGGCAATGGTAGCTGCGAGGGCAGGAAGAAGGAATGCAACTGCATAAGTAGGATGATAGCATGTTGCTGTCGACCCTGTACCGCTCGTGATCGCGATGGGTGGGCTTTCGAGTGCTACCCAGGGATTGTATTGTAAACTTGCGAGAATTATGGAGGACCCAACCTGTCCAGTCCATCTCGTGATGGTCGATGGACTGAAAATGGCCTCTCTACCAGTCTCCTCCATTGTTTGAATGGATGAGCGAACAGGCGGAGTGATTACTTTGAGCCCTATCCTTGCTAATACGTTCCCGGCACTCCCAGGCCCTTGTATTCTAACCGAATTATCATAATCTTGACGTTGTGAGATATAATGTGTCGATAGTCCATCGGGGTTCTCGCCGAGTGTAAACCGTTCAATGGGCTCCAAGATGGTGTATTGAGTATCCACCCCAATCTGCTGAGTTTCCCAATAGTCTGCGCGTACATAGTGGAGATCACTCGGAATACAGGATATTTCGAGGGATATCGAGTTCTTCGAATTGCTTTGAATGGTAGCCGTGACCATATTTATCTGGGGGATACTCGCACACAACATCTTGTTCTGAACTTGCACGAATTTGCCGTTCTGGGAGATTGTTCCCGACAGGCCCAACAGAGAGCATGCATAGTTATTTGTTCCCGTCGTATTCGTCAAGGGTAGCCCTAGCCTTTCCTTCAAGCTATTGCCACAACCTTGAATAAACCAGTCTTGATCGCCGTATCCCCATGAGTTGTCGGTTGTTAGGAGAGTTCGGTCTACGAAGGTGGCATCTGTAAACTTTGCTGGATACCAGTTTATGCTAAGCATAAGGCCCTCCGAGTTGAGAGTGGATGTGTTGAAAAGTGGTCGAGAGTACTCGCGCATAGCGTCTGTCCAATTTGAGAGGAGATCATAGAGGCCGTCTGGACCAGAGTATCTCCTCCACGTCCCATTCGTTTGGATAAAGGTAGGAGCGAGGTCTGCTGGACCATTGGCATCTTTGACAGAGTAGATTCCAAGGCTCATGCAGCCGACTTCGACTTCAAGGGCCATCGCCTTTTCCAGAGTGAACTTCTGGTCTACAGTGATATTTGGCACTCCAAAGACCGCTTGAAAGCCGGTATCAGTAGGTTTTACAAGGATACCATTGCTGATGGTTGGCACTTGTATTCTCCTGATCCCGGCGTTCACTTGAAAGGAAGTTGTATTGCTTGATATATCGGCATATCGCCCAAGCCGTCGAGGAAGTAGCATGTCGGAATCGGTCGAATTGATGCCCGTGAATAGGGCAGGATCGAGCAAGGTGGAATTGTGCCATTCGGCACAGGCATACAGTGGCGTGTCGGGCAAACTGGTGTTGCGGATCGAGGAAGCATTACATCTGTAAGCAGGAATACTGTCGGGATTACTTCCGCTGATAAAGTTGGAAAGTATAGTTGAACGGGCGAGTTGTTCGTCGGTAATTGATCCCGGACGGTCATACTGAACTGGGCCCTCAATGGTGCAGGTATAAAACCCTAGAAAACCTATATCACTCAAGCTGGACAGCAGAGTGTAGAGGACAAGGAGGACGATACTGATGGCGAGGCCAACAGACTTTGTTGGATCTCTGTTGGTTCGCCCGATACGATGCCATATCCATAGCGCCGAGTGCTTGGTAGACGATAGGTTGCCTATGATACGATTGAGAGTATCATGGGTACTGAATGAGGCAAGACGTGGAGCGTTGGATAAGATGACGAGGCCGATTATAAAGGGGCCTGCGAGGGTGATGACCTGGATGATCACTCGCAAGACAAAGATGAGTTGACCGATGGTCAATGATGTGGTGACTACGATCATTCGACGTCAACCCTGTGAACTATTATGAGTGTCTTTGTACCCTATCACTCAGAGGAATATCCTTACCTCTTCGGACCTTCTCTCACCAGAGGGCCGTAGAGTTTGGTTGCTAACAGTGGTCCCAGGATTATACTCGCACTTATCACCATATCAAAAGTTGTCTGGTAGACAGTGAGAATTCGAAGCATGGTAACGAAGAAAGCCAGAGGCTCGGCGGAAGTCACCCTGGCCGAGTTCCTGAAACTTCTTCAATAGTATCCCGGCCCAATTTCTCGTCCAGTTAACTGCTCTATAAGCGACTCTTGGACTGATGGGGTGCATGCTGTCGGCAATTCGAAGAATTATCCGACCAACCAGTCTCTAAAATTCAGAGTTCTTATCCTTGCAGGACATATACTTGTCACTTTGGCATGAGT